TAGTATATGTTCTTACTCTCTAGAGTTCAACACATTCTAGTAGCAGAAATTTGGGGAAGAGAAGGGAAGGGAAGGGCATTATGTAATAAGTGGGATCTCCTACAAGTAATTGTGCATGATATTTACCACTTATTTTAATATTCTATGCATTCAACAGGATATACTTTTATAAAAGACTATTAGCTCTAGATTAGAAGCAAGATGTAGGAATAAATGTTCAATGCTGTCACAAGCTCCTGTTTAAAACGATTTATGCCCTGACACAGACAGAACTCACACAGTATTAAGCCAAGTTTTTTAATCATAGTTTCATTAACTAAGCCGCAATTATTTTGTGTGTATATAATACTAAACTATAGGGGCTAGATTCATGCATTGTTCTTAAGCCAAAATCCAAAACAAGTGAATTAACTTTGTCAGACTGCAATGATTTTAATGCCTAACACTATCCACGTGAGCCTCCATGGTGAATTAAATAAAGGCTAAAAACCAAGAGGATAAGCAACAGGGGGGCCACAGCCACTTCCAGCATAAAGCACCCCTATCGGGGGCCCAGGCCAGCTGGTAGAGCCAGGCTTTAAGGCCCTTCCATAAGGCCAAGAATGTGAGCACCGACCTCACCTCTAATGGGAAAATAATCCAAAGGATGGGGGCCACAGCAGGAAAGGCTCTTCTGATGGATCCTCCCAGCTGAATTTTTTTGGCAGATGCAATCCAAAATAGGCTTCTTCCATGGGAGCAAGTGGGATGGGCTAATCCCACTGGAGTAAAATGGCTCTTCAGGTAACCTAGACCCATGCCATAAAGGACTTCAGAGGTCTTTGAATTGGACCTGGAAGCAGACTGGCAACTAACTCACCAACTCACATAACAGCAGTGTTACATGGGCTATCCTAGGAGCCTCCAGAACAGTCTGCACCATTGTGTACTGCACCAGTTGTAGCTGCCAAATGCTTTTTAGGGGTACCCTCATTAGAGCATGTTGCAGTAATCGAACCAAGAGATAACCAGGGCATGAGTGACAATGTGCAGGACCTCATTCAGCTTCTCTCTACTTTATTATTTTCTGGTACCATTCATGTAATTCCCATAGAACTCTGCTTTATGACATTTAACAAACAAGAAAACGTAGAAGCCATGGTTCCACAGAAAAACTAAATTATTTGTGTCAAATTGTTTTTACCAATGTAATTATAAAATCAAAGTGTTGTAATTTAAATATCAACTCAGAGAAATAAAGAAGGTGAAAGCGTAACACAAATCATTTCTGTTTTCCCCAGCTAAAGAAGTAAAATTGTGTAATTTTCCAATGAGAATTCTTGCATACAAACTCTGTCCTTTGACCTACAGTTCTGCTTTAGCTGTATTCCCATTACTTCTGGTTTGGCTTGTAGCATAACTGACAAGTTCCTGCTTGCTGAAATATCAGGAAACCCATCAATTTTTGCAATCATTTGAAAGACGCTATTCTAATTCGAAATAAATCCTTACTCATAAAGCTATTCAATAGTACTTGAAAATTTTCTCCGAAAATTGTATTTTTGATAAACTATAAAATGCTGCATTAAAATCTGTTTTTCTTATGCAATGTATTTATTCCGTCAGCCAGCATTTTTAGTCTGGTGAAAAGAGTACATAGTTGAAATCTCTCTTTCTCTCTAACTTGTAGCAAAGATAAAGTTAAAAAAAAAATGTATGGAATTTTTACCACAGAATAGCAGCTATGCATTTATTTGATTGTATAGAGAGTTTGTTCCCCCAAGAACAGATATATTCTGTCTGCTAAACACAGAGCCCTTAAAGAGCCCCCAACTTTCCAGAGAACCCCAAAAGTCCAGAGCACGTCAGGTTATAAGAGTGTGTGGGCCAAAGCACTGGATCTTTTTTGTACTATGGAAATGTTTCATTTGCTATTGCAAAAGTTGAAAAGCTGCTTGTGGATTTGCAAAATAAGACATTGGAATCTAAGTTATAGTGCATTGAAACAATTCATTAGCCAGACTGATGAAGCAAAGTAAGAGATACAGATATTAAGCTAATAGTCTTTTGGAGATCCAAATTTAACATTCATAGAATGTACACATAGCACCTAATGGGAACACCTTAAAGCAGACATACCTTTTCCTGTGTTCAAACATCAATTACTTTAAGGTACTCATGACAGATGCCAATCTTTGCTACAAATCACATTTTGATATTTGAATCTGGACCTCTACACAATAACAAAATGAAATTCAACCTAAATTAAATTACATTAATTGAAATTATGTTGAAATTGCATCACACTTGATCAGAACATGACTGACACTAAGTGCCAATAAAAATTAATTTACATATTACTCCCTTAGTGGATTACAAAGAACTGACTAAAGGAATTTACGCCAACTATGTGCTGAACTAGCAGATCAAGAGCAAACATGAAGCACTTCAAAGGAGTTTCAAGCAGACAACTAGGATTTTGCTTTCTTTCCTTCTCCTCCCACATTTTCCAGAAACTGAAATGTAATTAGCTAATATTTTCCCAAATTGGAGCTCATACAATCTTCATATAATTACCCCAACATTTTTGTCCCTCACCATTCCTATACTGTATGTTCAGTGGCCCATTTTTTTGATCTGATACTCTCCAGATATTGTGGAACAGAGATAATGAGATATCTGGAGAATATAAAATTAGGCAAGGCCGTTAAATGTGATGCTTTTTAGATGTTTTTAAATGTTAGATTGAGATTTTATATTTTAATGCACATATTAAGTTACGTAAGTTAAGTAAGTAATAAATTAAGATTACATATTATATAATCTTCATAATAATTGTTTGCAATACCTGAACATTTTGCATATGACAACAGTTAAAAAAAATGTCTCCAAGAAACCTGCTGGATGCCTCCAAGACACCTGCTGAATTTCCAATCCCTGAAGATAGTAATTTGACTGAAAGGGATCAAGATAATTATTTCCTTTAAGAGCTTTTATAATTGAGCATCTATTGTTTTACTGGAAATAAGAAAATAAACAGTTGAAAGCCATGTTTTAATGGAAAGATGAATTTGCTTGCTTTTACATATTTTCTGAGACCATCAGTCAGGAGGGAGAAAATAAAACATTTCTTTGCCTTAAATCAGCTTCTTTAAATGCTGCAGCTTGCTTTGTGGAATCTCTCCTGCACAACCACATAATGATATGGTCATTAGTCAAAGCCCCTACCTCTTTTCCCACCCATAATCAGTCCCACTGCAGAATAAGCATCAATTTAAGAGTTTTGAGTAGAAACCAAGTGTTTTCCAGGAATCCTCCTTTCAAAGGCAAACATGATATGTTTAGGACAGGGGTCAGCAACCCTCTGCTCTGGAGCCACATGTGGCTCTTTCATCCTTCTGCTGTGGTTGTCACTCAAAATATGCATCACAACCGCCAATGTGCGACACCCGCCGGCCTGCAATTTATTGAGTTTTTCAACCCCCAGTAGGCCAACCATGGATAAATCCAAGAAAAGTTTCAGAAGAAAACAGAATGTTTAATTCAACTACATATGCTGGTTTTGTGGCTGCTCAGGAAATAGTCAGGCATGGGAGGAGTTTTGTGGCTCCCAGTGTTTTCTTTTCTGTGGGAAATGGGTCCAAATGGCTCTTTGAGTGTTTAAAGTTGCAGACCCCTGGTTTAGGAAAAAAGCTCACTTCAGGCTTCTAATAGGCTCTGGAACTCTCATGTTGCTTTACATTCAGCATACTTTTGTATCAAATGTGCCACCCACATTTTGAGAAACGTTTAGCCTTTTCACTATTGGTGTACATCAGTGTTTTTAAAACTTGGCAACTGTAAGATGGGTGGACTTCAACTCCCAGGATTCCCCAAGTTTGAAAAACCCTTATGTATGCCATCTCTCTAAACTAGATTCCTCAAGCTGGTATCTTTCAAATTTGATTCATAATGCTTTCCAAGTTTCTAGCCTGCATGAAAGGTGTGGATTGGGAATGACAAGAATTGCAGTTCCATCTGCCAATGAGGCATGAGGTTAGGGAAACTTAACTCTAAGCCAAAAGAAAAAGGTGTTGTTGAGAGGCAACAACACGAGCAGTAGCTTTTATATCAAGAATGACCTTCACAGCCAAGATTGCGTTGAAAAGTCAAGGGGAAAAGTGATTTCTTGTAGTGTTTTCCTATTTACATGGATCAAAAATTATCATAGCATTTAACTTTCTTTTCTTGTTTCTGATGTATCAATTAATTCCCAAGAACAGTATCTTTCTTTTAATCTCTTTTAAACAAAGTAATTACAGAGTCTTTTTGGTGTAGTATTTAAAGCACGGGACTAGAAGCTGGGAGACCATGAATTCTAATCCTTCCTTAGGCACAAAATCAGATGGGTGACTTTGAGCCAGTCACTCTCTTAGTCTTAGGAAGCAAGCAATTGCAAACTACTTTCCAAAAAAACTTGTCAAGAAAACTGCAGGGACCAGTCAAGGCAGTTGGCAGGTGTCAACAGTGACCCCCCCAAAAAAGTGTCTGATGAAAAGGACATAGACAAAGTAATAGTGATTGGCCAATAATATTGCCATCTGCAAAACAGATCTGTCTTACAGTGCTCCCTAAACCAATTTTTATGGAGGCAGAAGGAACTGTATGATCCCGTGAACATCTTTGCAGTTCAGATTTACCTAAAACTACTATCTTATTAACATAATCACGTTTTATTCCAAATATTAATATAAAGAAAGTTTTCTTCTTCTCTTGCTACCCCACCCATGTTGGATGTATATTGTAAAAAGGGCATCATCGGAAATTATCTGGACACTATTCAATGGAATTTAAACACCCAATGATATTATCTGACAATATCTCTATTATTAGCAGGTTTAGCATTATATGCATTCTCAGAAAGGTAAACTAGGGTTGGACCTACATACTATTTGCATGAGACACCATCAAGAAATAGGTTAGAGTAAAATGTCCCAAAACACACAAACAACCAAAAACCACACACAAGAAGCCATGGAGTATGGAAATAGCAAATCATTTTTATTTTGTTGCCAAGAAGTATATGAAAGTATCTCTCAAAGTCAAGATTGAGTTGAAATAGAAATTACTTTATTATAGTTACTATAGGTATACATCACTTCAGATTTGATTTTAGACATGTCCTTTGTAGCATAGGAGGGCAAATAGCACTTTCCCGCACTTCTTTAAAACAGCCACATCTTTGCCCTATATTCTATAGTAGTTGCAGAGGGGAAAATACAAAATAGGAGCTGTTTAATAATTACCATTATATTGGACATATTTTTGTATTATACACTTAAAAAAGTAGCAACAATGCAAAAAATAAAATAAAATAAACAACCCAGCAGATCTTGTTTTTGTTAAGTTTTTGTATTCAGGAAATCAGTACAGTAATAGTTCACTATTCCAGTCTGCACAAGTATGCTAAGGTTCTTCTCTCCATCTTTAGACCAAAAAGAAAGAAAGAAAAAGAGAGAGAGGGAGGGAAAGAGAGAGAGGGAGGGAAAGAGAGAGCGGGAGGGAAAGATATATATATATTAAATCTTACAGAGATATGAATGCAGGCTTCCTAAAATGGAATCTAGTGTTATCTTGTTATACCACTCCTGACTTCAAATTGAGGTTGGATTACATTATATGTAAGCAAAAATATTTGCTATAAATGAAATATGAGATCTTGAAAACACAGATCCATATAAACAAGATACTAGTCCACGATTAATTAAAATGTAATTTGCTAAATTAGCCTAACTGCTTGGGTTCATACAGCATACAGAACCATAAATTAAATATGCTGACATGCTTTGCACAAACAGACTAAACTGTAGACTGATCAATCATGCTTTAGATTAGTGCATTTCATGTATCTACAGTTAGAAGAAAGTAACTGGATAAATACCATAATATAAACAGTATTACCCCTTGTTTTTAACCAGTATACTTAGCACTTTCAAGAAATTCTTCTAACCTTTCTTTTCCCAAAAGTATCATAATTAATGTAGCTGAGGGAAGAAAGATTTTTCTTACATTACCTCTTTTTTCCCCTCTTAGCAAGATGCCTTCTTTACTACAGCTACATTTCAAAGATAAATTTAATCTGTGCAACTTTCTCCAGCATCCAAATGTAACACAATGGTGTAAATCCCTAAATAAAAAAATATATATTAAGATACAGTAGTTCTTGAAAAGCTAAGTGAAAAAATATCTGACACTGGTCCTAATTTACCTCTCAAACAAATACAGACTATGGATTTCAGAGAAGGCGGTACTGTATGTTTTGCGGGTGGTATATTTTGTGAGTCTTGGTAGAATCTGTGATTTTTACATTGGATCCACTCGAAAGCACCATCAGATTACAGGCTACATCGGCTTATATTTTTATGTGGAGCTGATGATACAGTAGTTATGGTGCAGACGTCTGGATCTCATGCAACTGGTGCGTGGAATCATCTTGAGGTTACAGTATTTGAAATATTATCTCTACATGGATGTCAGACAATCATTAAAAAAAAATGAGGTTAGCACCATAAACTATGTCAGATTTATAACTGTAATATGTCCACGATCTGTGATTTGAGAGTAGTTTCAAATGGAGTTCTAACCAAAGATTTTTTGCACTGAAGCTTAAGACCAAGTGTCAACCAGAGCATCTTAAAGAGAATCTTTTATTAAAAACAGCATGGAAATCCGAAGGTACACATCTGATTTCGTACCTTTGGTTTTTAAGTTTTTAAGGCAGGGAGGGAAAAAAAAACCAAATCTATTTTCTTCCAATTCTGCGATGGGATCCACATGCCCTCAGAACCGGTCTACCTGATTCGTGGTTCTTGTACACCCCCTTGATTTCAGCAAGGGTCGTTTCTCTAAACTGCGTTAGAAAAAGCGTAATTATCCATTTTCTTGTCGCCCAGCTCTCCTCCTCCTCCTCCTCCTCCGCTACAGACGGCGACGGCGATCCGTGGCTGGCCCGTTGGTGCCCTTTCGTTCCCGCGCATCGCGGGGCGGAGCAAGGGGGAAAGCAACCTTCACCCCTTCGAGCCTAAGGCTCGCTTCACCGGCCTCTTTTCCCCTCCGAAGTCGGTTGATTTCCACCCTAGGATACCTGGGCCAAAGGCGAGGCCGCTCCTCCCTTTTCCCGCCGCTGCTCACCTGGCCCAGATCCTGGAGAGAGAGAGAGAGAGCGAGCGAGAACCCACAAAGAAGGAGCGGTTCATCTCACGGCGGTGGCTCCCGGGCGTGAGAGCTGAATCACAGCCAGCGCCTGAGTGATTCAATGAGCCTCTAAGCCACCCGCCGTCTGTCCGAAGAGTTTCCGGAGGGGGGAGGGGGAAAGAGAGAGAGGGGGGGGGAGGAATACTATAAAAGAAGGAAGAACCAGCCAACTTTTTAGTTAAAGCCGCTGTCTCGCAGGCACACACACACATACACGCGCGCTCACGCAACCCTGCTCTCCGTTTCGTGAACTCCCTTCGAAGAGTCCTGATGGCCCGGCGGTGTTTTTCCAGGACGGGAGCACCTGGCGCTCCAGCCTTGCTGCTCTGCGCGGTGCTCGCTCTGCTTCCCTCCGACTCAGGTGAGTGAATGAGTGAGTGAGCGAGCGAGCGAACGGTGCGCGGTCCCTTCCTCCATCCTCCCTCCCTCCGTCATCCCCGAGATGCCCTTTTTCGCGCCTTTGGACTTGGTCTCTGCGTGGTCTGCTTTCCCTCTGGAGGGGTTAGGCTGGATTTTCCTTGTAGATCCTGGCACTGGCCAATGCTTCTGAATCGCCAGCTTCTGTTTTGTTTGTATGGTTTCTTTCACTGTTTCCCATGGTTTTGCTATTATTATTATTATTCTTATTATTCTTATTCTTATTATTATTCTTATTATTATTATTATTATTATTATTATTATTATTATTATTATTATTATTCTGAATCGCCAGTTTCTGTTTTTTTTGTATGGTTTCTTTCACTGTTTCCCATGGTTTTGCTATTATTATTATTATTATTATTATTATTATTATTATTATTATTATATTATTATTATTATTATGCTTCTGAATCGCCAGTTTCTGTTTTTTTTGTATGGTTTCTTTCACTGTTTCCCATGGTTTTGCTATTATTATTATTATTATCATTATTATTATTATTATTATTATTATTATTACGACGATGATGATGCACAAAAATGACAATATGCACAGCAAACAAGATAACCATGCTGGATTTCGTATCCCAAATCACCAGTTGAACACTTCCCAAGCGTTTAGGACTGCGTGATGTATCGGCGAATTATGCGAGCAGATCCCAGTTAAGGTGGCTTTCTGCAGCTGACCAATGGTGATCTTGTCAGCGCCAATTATTTTTAAGTGCTTGCCTAGGTCTTTCGGCACAGCACCCAGTGTGCCGAGTGCCACTGGAATCACCTGCACTGGTTTATGCCAGAGTCTCTGCAATTCGATTCTCAAGTCCTAATATCTGATGACTTTTTCAAGTTGTTGTTGTTGTTGTTATTATCATCATCATCATCATCACATTTTTAAATGTTCAATTGACTTCAGTTTCATGTAAATGAATAAAATAATAATAAAACAATAATAAAATAATAATTATTATTATTATTTGAAATGGGCTAGAAGTCATCCTTGCATTTGGACTGCAGAGCAAGTAGCGTCTGGCTCTAGGGATTTGAGCTGACTAAGTTAAAAGCAATGAAACTTTCAAGTGTCTGTGGGATAGAGGGGGCTGCTCATCATTGTGGACATTTGTGGGGGGGGGAGAATGGTTCAAGAAGTATGGAAAATACCAGAAAGGCTCAAGAAGTATATTGTGTTCAGAATACGCTAAAGCATTAAGGATGTATATTGTTCTCTGATCAAATCTGAGTATACTTTTCAAGCGCAGATAGAAAAATGGCACAATTTAAGTCCATATAGTCTGAATATCAATTAAGTATTTTATGTATCAAGTTTATTTGCCACCCATCTCGTGCTTCAAGGTGTGGATAAGTTTAGTGAGCAATTTATCATCTGTTATTAACAATAGAAAAAAAACCAAGAATGTTTTCAAAGCAATTAAGTACATGTATGAGTGTTGTGCAATATTGGTACGCTTTTAAATACTGTGTTAGTATCACGGTGGCATATTGAAACAATGCAGTTTCTTAATTTAATATCAACAGGGTATGGATAGATCTATTCCGGAAAAATGTTATGAGCTGACTAGCTAAGGAGAAGGCTTAGTATATCTGTAGTATAAAAATGATTGGAAGTGCTTTGAACCTCACATAAACATAATATGTACCTGCCTTTCATTAAAACAACCTGATCCTTTTTAGTTTGTGTACCTGATAAAAATTTGTAGTTGCTCTAACAGTTGTACTGATGTTAGTAGGTAGCTTAAAGCAGCATCTTAGGAAAACTTGCAAAAAAGCTGGACTACTTAATAATAACAAGAGGTGTTAACCACATTTGCACTGCATGGTTAACAACAGAAGAGTCACTTATTACAGTATGGTTGAAAAACTGTGTGGGACAGAAATAAGATGGCAAAACACATATTCATAACACATAACACATGTTAACCACCTGGAATGCTTTAACATGCATGTAAAGATTCATAAGAAATGTTTATGACCATTACACAAACGTACTGCACATGCTATCAGTAAATTCACAAACTACAGAAAATTTTTGAAAACCTATTTCAAATTATATTTCAAATTATATTTAAAATATAATTTTCTTCCGAGTACATTATACAGTAGAGTCTCCGTTATAATGATAATCCTTAAAAGAAGAATTTAATCTAATAATACCAAGAAACAAATAAAATCTAAAGAATCGCTTTGAATAGCTATAAAGCCTGCCAAAGACTGTTTTGTCACATGTAGTCATGTTTTCTAAAGAAGGAATGGAACTTTAGGGTACCTTTCAAACTGTTCAATAGGTATGAGGAGCATATAAATGCAATGCGTATAAAAATAGTAATCATTGGAGCCTAAGGAGAGATATTCTGCATTCTTAGAAAGAAAAAGGTTTCCCTTTTTCTCAAGTCATAAACATAAGAGCCAACCATCCTTTGAGTTCAATATTCTTTTATACAGAGATTAATCTTGGAAAGGCCCACAAATAGGGCATATATGAAATATAGCAGACAACTACAAAATGGCATAAAAGAATTAATATTTTCCAACAGAAGAGATTATATGTTGCTCAGGGTGGAACTGGGCAGTCCTTAGTGCCCTCTGAGCTTGGTTGTTTCATTATCTGACTAGGTATCTACTAGTACTAATGATTGTGGAGTTTGCTCTCTGTTTATGTACAAAAGTTTGCCCTGCAACTGTTGGATATGTGTGTGTGCTTTTCTCCTTGGTAGTTCCTTGATTACGGTGTTCTTTTCTGCTTCATTGTTTGTCTAGTGTTAATTCCTGCTTATCTGGGTATATCTGCCGGAAAGGATGTGTCCTGATCTGTTTGTTTCCTTCTTACCTTTTACTTTTACACAACAGTCAAAGAAACAATAAAAAAGCTAAGAAAGAAATAAGACCAGTACACATCCTCTTTGGCAACCTACACCCAGATAAGCAAGGATTAACACCAAACAAAACACCAGACAAACAATCAAGCATGTTTTAATCAAGGAACTACCAAGGAGAAAACCATGCCCCCCTAACCCTGGCAGGTAAAGCTGCTGTATAGTAAACAGGGAACAAACCAGGGTGAAATGCTCCCAGTTCGGACTGGATCACCCAATCTGGTAGCGATGGCAGTGGGTGGTTCGGAGAACCGGTAGGAAAAATCCCTGTGCCCCCTTCCCATGCCCAGCTGAGCTGTGCAATCATCACAGGCTGTTTTTTTAACTTTTAAAAGCATTTTTTCTACAACCTCTTCCACCAAAAAAAAATGCTTTTAAAAGTAAAAAAAAAAGCCTCTGATGATCGCGCGGTTCAGCTGGGATCGTCAGAGACTTTTAAAAGCATTTTTTTCTGCAACCTCTTTGGCTGAAGAGGTTGTAAAAAAAATGCTTTTAAAAGTTAAAAAAAAAAAAAGTTGGCCATGCCCACCCAGTCACATTACCCCACCCACCCACCCACCAACCAAGCCATGCCCACAGAACCGGTAGTAACAAATTTTACATTTCACCACTGGAACAAACCCCACACTCAGTTGTATTGCCTGTGTTACCTAGTCACTTATTGAAACATCTGTAAGTGAACAACCAAATTCAGAGAGCACCAAGAATTCCACATTTCTACACTTCTTTGCTAGCACTGAAAGATTATCCAGATCTTTGCAATGCAGATTTAATAGTCCTAAAAATTCCACTTCCAGTTTTTCTACAGAAATTTCATATGCCCACCATAACTGGTAACCCACTCAGTGTAAACAAAATTACAGTGTCTTGATTCATATAACATTCTAAGCTAACATGAGGTTAGATAGTCTTTGTAGAGGATGACGAGAACCTAAACATTGAATTAGGATCTTGGGTGAACCACTTTAGCAGACTGAGAAATAATATAAGTTTAGATGTTCAGGTCCAGCATATTAAATGTTATTCTGTTCAATTTGTTCAATTTGTTATGGTTGCCCACTATGTTAGACTCTGGGCAGCTTACAGTTTTTTAAAAAACAAATAAAATGGTTAAAAACATACATAAGCAGGCAATCATTACTAAAACAGTCAAAATAATAAGTAGTATAAATATGATGGGTCCCACAAACACATTACCTCCAGGCCTAAGAACCAACTAGATCTTCTGGATCTCCAAAATAGCGGGGATACTGTACTAGAAACCAATGGTAGTCACAGAGAAGACATATTTCCTTGGTCCCACAAGATGGCAGTCTTTAAGTGAAGGAACTGGATTGCACGCACTCTGGCTGCATGTGCGGAAGTAATTGGAGATATGTGGTCCCTCAAATAACCAGATAGATAAACAACTATGCCATGAAGAGTTTTCTGGTGATGACCAACACCTTGAATTGCATCCAGAAGATTCCAGGCAACAAATGCAGTTTACGTAGCAGCAGTGCCATATATACATAATGGGAAGTGTCCATTAGCGCATTTACTTTGTTATGCGGGATTAAACATCATGTAAGAACCTAGCCAATGTGTTGGTACTAATGCAGAATCTCTTAGATATTCTAAATCTTCTCTAAATGTATGTTTTTTGCATGTTTTGGGTTATAGCTCAATGGACAAGTTAGAGGAAATTATGAGTTACAATCTATTGATTATAGAAGACTGCTTTATTTATAGTATACAGATTCAGCCTGTCTCAATTGTTGATTCAAGGAGACTCTCTGTTGCATGAGGAAATAATATATCTCATTTTTAAATTTTGGATTAACACAAATTAAACCATATGAACTATAATTCCTGCAATCTTTGCAATGAGAGCCAGTTTGGTCTAGTGATTAAAGCACCAGCCTAGCAACCAGGAGGGTGAGTTCTAATCCCACTTTAGGCATGAAAACCACCTGGGAGGCTTTGAGTCAATCACACTCGCAGCCCAACCCACCTCACAGGATTGTTGTTGTGAAGAAAATAGGAGGAGCGGGGAGTATTATATATATGCCACCTCAAGTTATTTCTAAAAACCATAAAACTGGGATTAAAAATAAAAATATAAAAAAATACCTAGCCACTAGGGATTTGTTTGCTGAGAAGTCATACAAGTTGTAGACCAACCTACCAGAAAGATACCAGGTTGGGAAGGTCTGACTTATATTCCAATTTCAATAAGACTTTTAAAAAAATAATTGATAAATTATTGCGTTTATAATATTGTTAGAGCCTTAAACAATGCAACAGTCCACACAGAATATTGTAATATGTGGAAAACCCACTAAGTCATATTCCTCTCTATACATTTTCAAACAGGTAGCTCTACAGTACAGACAGCTGTAAACATAACTTGGTCATCAATCAATTTTAAGACTGTGCTCCGCTGGGATCCAAAACCAGTTGGTTATGTTTATACAGTTGAAATGGACGGGTAAGTTAATGTTTGGAAACCATACCTTTCCTTAGGTATTTCATCTGTTGTAATGGAGCAGTTTGAGAAATAACAAGAATACATATATGAAAAAACATCTCCATGATGTAACTTGATATTGGACATGAATTGACACTGTAAAATGAATACTATTGATTTCATATAAGGCTATAATTTGAAGCATACCTGCTTACATAAAACATGTAACAAGTGTACATTGTTGAAAGAAGAAATATGATACTCATCTAAATTTTCTTAAAGGTCTCCCTACATAATTTTTAATTTCCCCCCTTTTATGGTATGTCCCCTAGAACTGTTCCAATTTCAGGGGTAAAATTGAATCATATCACCTCAAGTGTTGAATCAGCTAGGTGCTTCAAACTTATAGAAGGCGACTTCTGTTTATATCTTTCACAGGCATAGACATAGGGCCCAGCTTGAAATAAACAACCACTATGATCTGGGCAGTGGTGGGATTCAAGTAATTTAACAACCAGTTCTCTGCCCTAATGATTTCTTCCAACAACCAGTGTGCCAAACTGCTCAGAAAGTTAACAACCGGTTCTCCCGAAGTGGTGCGAACTGGCTGAATCCCACCACTGAATCTGGGGTTTCAGAAGGAAGTGCTTTGATTAAATATTGAATCTATCTGTAGTAGAGATTGTTACTATATTCCTTTAATGTACTTAGTTTTTATATCAATTTATTTGTAAGCTAGTTAATTTCATATTATATGTTTTATATTTTTTATTTCTCTCATTAACTTTTTAAATTACCCATAATTTTAGTTGTCCTGTATTATTGCATTTCTTAGTACTTCTAAGTCTGCTGTGAAAGCAGTTGTGTCTTATTCATTGTAGCAGTACAAAATATTCAAGGGCATAAAGGCCATTTCATGTTTTCCTAGTTACGCTGTTTATCTCACTAACATGGACAATATTACTGCTGACCTTCAAAACATGTAACATTTTGCATTGTGACTATATGGATCAAATTGAAAGTTATGTATTATGTATGTGGCCAGGATGATATCCATTTTTTTCTGACCACTGCAAGGCATGTATTTATAACAGTCTTACTTCTCACACATATGCATAAAATGCTTGATTTATATTCTTGACCTTAATCTTTATAGGTATCTCTTAATACGAGATAAAGTATGCATTCATACAGATAAAACTGTATGTGATGTTACTAAGGTGACACTTCAGAATTTAAAAGATACTTACGTGGCACGCATATATTCTGAAATACCATATGATGGAGATAATTTGGAAACACCTCCATATGAAATTTCTTCAGAGTTTGTACCTTACACCCAAAGTAAGTATAATAAATAAATATGATATATATTCCACTATATTTATACACAGAAAAGAAGATTAGGTATAAAGACTTATAAGGAGTGTGTTTTTAAGATTTATAGGAAAGCAGTACTTCCTGTTAATAGTTTAGTTTTGTAATTTAGTTGTAAGAGACTGAATATTTTACATAGAGGTAGACCATTCATTTAACAATGATTCAAAGTTATGACAGCTCTTGAAAAAGTGATTTACGACCTGTCCTCAAAATTGCAAATGTCACATCACACACTTGCAGTTACATCATCACAATTCAGGCACTTAGCAATCAGCTTGTATATATGACCAGTTGCTGTGATTTGTGACCTTCCCAGCCAGTTCCTAACAAGCAAGATTGATTGAGGGAGTCAGATTCCTTAACGACTGTAAAATCATGTCTGGTCACATGATGTCTCGCTTAACTACCCCATTGGTCTAAGTTGTCATAAGTCAAGAACTACCTGTATAACATATGGCTCTCCCAACTTTTAATGAAAACCTAAAAGGGAGGAAAGGTAATTTATTTAGTTGGAACAAATCAGCATTAGATTTAATTGTTTGTTTCATTTTGACTTATTTATGGAGGATGTCACTGTCTTCTTCCTAGGGCTGAAAGAAAGTGACTGGCCCAAGGTCCCCCACAACCAGCTTTTGCCTAAGGGGGGTGGGAAGCTATAACTCATGGTCTCCCAGTTTCTAGCCTGGTGCCTTAACTATAAACCGCTTCTGAAGAACCTTGCCAAGAAAACTGAAGAGACTTGTTTAGGTAGTCACCAGGAATCAACCCTGACTCAAAGGCCCGCAAACACATCTTATGCAGCTTCAGTCATATACTATATTTTTATAATACCCATTGTAAATTGACCACACACACAAAAAATAATCTGTGCTCAGAAATAAATAAATAAATGTTTGCCGTTAGAACTGTAATGCATTTTCCCCCAATTTATGACAGCTGGTTTTAAAAAGGGGGAATGTTCCTTTTTTTTGTTCCTCCCCATTCTATACAATTTCTTTGCCCAAGAGTTACAAGAACCTTTTGAAAATAATAACATTTGTTATGCACTCTTTTTACATTATAAAAAAATCAAACTCGGTCATACTTTTTTCCTAGCTGAGCTTGGAACACCAACCATAACACATTTTGAACAAAAAGATGGAAAACTGAAAGTGGAAGTAGCTGATCCACTAACACCGTATATAGTTAACGGTACTTCGCAAACTATCAGGGACATATTCAAAAATGATCTGGAATACGTGTTACACTACTGGAAGGATCAGAGCACTGGCAAGGTGAGAACCTAATTTCTAAAAATGTTTAACTTTTCCTGCTCAGCATTAACACTTTCTTTTTAAAACTCATTTGAATGTAAAACATAGTTCTGTGCTGTTTGAATTTTTTATTGTAGAGTGGGGTATGGTTCTCAACAATAAAGTTGAGTGGAATAAATGAAAAAGCGTAATTACAGCTAGTCCTTGACTTATGACCACAACTGAGCCCAAATTTTTGGTTGCTAAGCAAGACAGTTTGTCAGTGTTCCGACTAATGCGCCCATTGAAATCAGAAGTCTGAAGCATGCAGATTCTTCGAAGAACATGTTTATCAGATGCATCATATCGGCACAGCCTGTAAAAGCCAACTCAGAGGTTTCCCGTGTTTGCAGCATAATTAAAAGAGCAATTGTTCCCCTCCCCAAGTGTCCCAGGTCACATTGTCCAATTATGATGTTTGGCGGGTTTCTTGGTTGCTCCTCTTCTCCTTCAACAGCCACCTGTTGGGATGACCTTGGTTCCCATGAGAAAGCTTTTTGTTATGACTGCTAGTCAGCCTATCTATTTTCCTTCCCCCCTCCCTCCAAAGTTCATGGCAACTCTGAGGCGGCTAAAGATGCCTTCAGCCAGATTCGCTTCAGAGTTGACACAGCTGTTAAGTAAGTTTCATCCCATTTTACCCCTTTTTTGCCACAGTTGTTAAGTGAATCATGCAGTCATTAAGTGAGTCTGGCTTTGCTTGTCTGAAGCCAGCTGGAAAGGTTACAAATGGTGATTCCATGACCTCAGGCTACTACATGTATTTACCTTCCGGTTGCCAAGCACCTGACCATGAGGGATACTGCAACAGTTCATAAGTCATTTTTTCAGTGTCATAAATTTGAACAGTCCCTAACTGAATGGTTGTAAGTAGAGTAATATATTTGAAAGCCTTTATGTTAATTCTTATATTAATAGCAATAATCATACACATACTGCTGTTTCTACAACACAGGTAATCAGGTAGTCCTTGGATGTGTGACCACAATTGAGCCCAAAATTTCTGTTGCTGAGACATTTGTTAAGTGAATTTTGCCTCATTTTATGACCTTTCTTGCCACAATTGTTAAATGAATCAGTGCAGTTGTTAAGTGAGTAACATGGCTTCTGATTTTCCCATTGATCCCATGATCCCAGGGACACTGCAACAGTTATAAATATGAACCAGCTGCCAAGCATCCAAATTTTGATCATACAACATGGGGATACATTGCAACGTTGTAAATGTAAAAAACAGTCATAAGTCACTTTTTTCAGTACTGTTGTAACTTTGAATGGTCACTAAATGAACTGTTGTAAGTCAAGGCCTACCTGTAGTCGATTATAATTTGCAGTATGGTGAATTGGAATATCTGCAGATAATTCTTTAAATACTTTTTTTGTTACTTTTCAGAAATCAGCAAAGACGAAAACCAATCAATTTGTAGTTGATGTTGATAAAGGGAAGAGCTATTGTTTCTCTGTTCAGGCTAATATTCCAAGCCGCTTAACTAACCAGAACAGTCAAGAAAGCCGTGTAAAATGTACCAGTGTTAACAGGGAAGACTTGGATGGTATGTATTATGTGATTTCATACAGGTTTCCTATTAAGTGTACAAAGAGTACAAAGAGTTGTGGTCTCACTTTACTCACTTTACTCAGATTGCACAAGGGATGATCATAAAAAAATTTCTTTTCATTTTGTTGCTTCATATGGATTGCACCAACTATTTTTTCCGCTAAGAATTGAGGAAATTCTTAAATTTCCATATTCAGAAAGATCACAGATCTGTGAGGACTGAACTATTCAGAGCAGATAAATATCTCAGGGTATAATAGTCCTTCTTGTCTAAACACCTACACTAGTTTGTTAAGCTAAGGTTATTCTTTGGATCCACTAACTTTTCTACACCAGCTTTGTCAGAATGTCAGTGCCTCTGGAATGTTTCCTCCCAGTTAGAAAGAAATGCTTAGGATTTATTACACCATTTAATGCCTCATTAATGTAGAATAGCTTCAGCCAGGGCAACGTTCAGATAAATACAAAGCATGCATCTAATTCAACTGACGTTGCATTTGTCTTATTTCCAGCTCTAGATTTGGACAAAATCCTCATAATAGTAGCTGCTGCTGTCGGAGTCCTCATTCTGATTATTGTTTTATCCGTGGTGATATACAAGTGTAAAAAAGCAAAGAGCAGATCATCAGAAAAAGAAAACATGCCTCCAAATTTGTAAGGACTAAACACTTAGCCCTGATTGATCAAAATGCTTGATATGCATTAATGTTGCAATGATGCTGTGGTGGGGGGGGGGAAACCTCTCTGGAAGCAATAATAACTGACTCTTCGTTGTACAGACATTTATGGTTTCTGTGAAACATCTGATTTTAAAACACTATTTGAAACTCCTGTTTTAACTTCACTGTTAAAATAATGAGAACTGTTTGAAATATATTAACTGACATATATGATGAAACGTTACTGTTTCTACTGCACTTTTGGTAGCATCTTTTTATATTGGGTGTTCTGGGTACATTAACTGGTGATAAAACCATAGGAATGAATTTTTAGCAGTCTGATTTTGCATAAAAGGTATGGTACAAATTGCCCTTAAACGTTAGAATATATTGCAAGAAAATAACTGATAAAAGGGAAAGATTCCCTTGAGCTGAACTTGACAATTGACCATGGAAGTGGTTCAGAAATGCCTTTCTTGGGCAGATATCTGGCAATAAGTCTTAAATAATTATTCCATTTTAATCAAAACTGTGTCAACTATTTCGGCTGGTAACGTGTTGTTGGCTGCCATTGCCAGAACTTAGCACTTTAAATATGTATTGGTAATTAACTGCTGGACAGAAAGAAATCTTAACTTTTTAATAATTCTGTATAAGTGTAAATACAGGTGATGTGAATTGAGGCTCTTTGTGGTACTATAATAACTTATTTATGATTTTTATGAATGAAAGTATATTTGTATATATTGCATTTATTTATTTAATATAATAAAGGTAAATGGGGACTACAGAAGTATGTTTCTTGATTTTGGGCATTCGGTGGTTTTTATTATCAAATGTTTTGCCAGTGCTGGCTAAAAATGGGCTTGTCATTGTACATTTTAAAACTCGTCAAGTTGACAGCTAAGCCACAACATTAATTGAGAAATTAGAGGAGAAATATATTTTCCCATCAAGTACCATAATTAGGATTTCTTTTAACACATGCATTGTGCTTCTGTTCATTTCTGTACTGTAAAATACATACAATTACTTACAGAAATACATTTTGAGTGTGCCAACATGAACTCACTAGTAACACAAATCTTAGCTCCACCATCTGACAGAAAAATATATCAACCATGGTTTACTCAACTGATGATTTATAAAATTCATAGAACATTCTCTATTTGAAATGCAGAATATACTCCTATAATTCCTATTTGTGTTCTGTGCTGTAAGGAGTTCTTTACATAGAAAGTATAACTATGTTGTAAGGTGTTTGGGGTTTTTCTGCAAGTGGAGAAGTACATGTATATAATGTTAGGGTGGTACAAATAAGTAATTGTAATTATACGTATTTATAAACATTAAGATCCTATTTAGAAACACGGGTGGTCAACTAGTATCATACATTATAACAAGGTCAGCGAACAAATCCAGGCTATCGAAAGGTATGTCAGGAATGTAATTAGGAGCTTAATATAGAATGTGGTTTCTTGTGACTATTTTGAATAAAAAGCGTGCACATGCAGTACAAAGTTCATTCTAATCCTTTCACCTAGATAACATTCCTAACGTAAAACATTTAACGTAATGATTAGACGGTAGTAGTAAAATTAAGTTTTAATACAAAATATCAAATAATTTAAATAGCCATAAATCTTCTAGATAGCCTACATTGGGGCACTGAGTTTTGCAGCAACTGCCTTGCACCGTTTAGAATTAACCAAGAATATGTTAATTAATTTGTGTAACATTTCTCATCCCCCACTCAACCGCAATAAAATTAATTTCACTGTTTCAATTCATATGAAATTTGTATCAGAAATAAATTTACTGCTTTTAACAATCTGTAGATCACGGGGATCCACAAAGTTTGTAGTACTGGAACTGCCTATTGCGGACTTGAATAGGCAGAATGGTAAAAATGCTCATGGGTTTCCACCACGCAAATTAAGTTGCTCATGACACTTTTGGAGAGTTTGTGAACTCCTGACCTTCTTTATTGCTAAAGCTTTTCCATCTATCATCATGTTTGATCTTTCCTGTCACAGTACACTCGCTTCTCAGCTTCATCCTGTTAAATCCACGTCGATTACTTCTACAATCTGTAGAACAGATTCCGTATGAACAGCCTTTCCTATCTGGTTTAGGAGACTAAAACTGTCAGTAACACATGAATACTTTTTCTAAGAAAGAAGTGATCCAGGCTACAACGTGGATATTAAGATATTTTTATTTATTTATCAAATTTTAAAACCTCATATTTCCCCCACAGAGAGGGATGGCATTTATTTAGCTATTCTAAAAATAAATATTTCAGAGATTATTTAGGCAATCATTCATTTTGGTACTGTATCAAGGGTGTGATGTTTAGAATTTAATTACAGGTAGTCAATTAAGAGATTAACAGAGTTGGAAGGGACTTTGTAGGTCATCTAGTCCAACCCCCTGCCCAAGTAGCAGACCCTATACCAGGGGCTGGAAACCTTAAACACTCAAAGAGCCACAAAGGTCCTAACCAGAAGCCCACATTCAATTCTGGAGCCAACCGGAAGTCCAGTTCCCCCATCATAGTCTCCTCTTAGCGCAGCATCCTTTTTCCTCTACCTGTCCTAACTGAAAGCCCTATCAATTGTGGACGTGACCAGTAACAGGGAGCCACAGCAGAGGGATGAAAGAGCCACATGCGGCTCCAGATCCGCAGGTTGCTGACCCCTGCCCTATACCACTTCTGACAGATAGTAGTCCTGTCTCTTCTTGAAAGCCTCCAGTGATGAAACTCCCACAGCTTCTGAAGGCAAGCTGTTCCATTGGTTGATTGCTCTCACTGTCAGAAAATTTCTCCTAATTTCTAGGTTGAATCTCTCCTTGATCAGTTTCCATTCATTATTCCTTGTCTGGCCTTCAGATGCTTTGGAAAATAGCTTGACCCCCTCCTCTCTGTGGTCCTCAGCTTACAACTGATCGCTTAGCAACTATTAGAAGTTACAATGGATCCCCCAAAATGTAATTTAGGACCCATTGGAACCTATCCAAAGTTGTGACAGCTGCCCTCCCACCCATGATCACGTGGTCATTTTTTAGATGCTTGGCAACTGGCCTGTATTTACGACAGTTTGCAGCATCTGTGGTCATGTGATTATAACTTATGATGATTTTGCTGAAAACCAATGTTTGCTTCCAGTTTCAAAAAAAAAAAACCTCCAGAAAAACCGACCTAAAGGGTTTGCTTAACAGCCATTCCAAAAAAGGTCATAATATCAGGTCAGTCATGTGATGACCTGCTTTACGATCTTCATAACTTACAACCAGAATTGCCAGGGTCAATTTTGGTTCTAAATCGAGAACTATCTTAAACAAAAGTAATTGGGGAGCCATTCCAACTTTCCTTTCTCAACCCAAAATTTAAAAAATAAAATAAAATAAAATAAGGAAAAGACAGGAAAAGGTGTTACAAATCAAGACCACCTTGTAGAATTAATAAGATAAGGTAAATGCATCAGTAAAATATTGAAGTGAAAGTGCTACGGTAGTAAGAATTTCCTTTCTTCACATTGTGTGTACTTTTACACAGTGTTTAAAACCACAAATGACTCATTTATCACATCTCTCTGTATTCTCTCTTGCATTACATCATCCAGCTGATTTTTATTCATTTTACCTCAAACTTTATATTGATTTTACTCTACAGCAAACATGTTACATAAGACACTGAAATATGTTACTCATTTTCCTAAAAATATATCAAAAGAAAGTTTCTCAGGAAACTAATTTTATCCAGTTTCATATTTAATGCTTTCTTTACTATGTAGCACATCTATTGCACACATTTCTCTCATACGCAGATCTTTTTTCCCCAAAACCAAATCCAATTGATTTTTTTTACTGATTTGTGTTTTTCACACAGCGTGCACTTGTTTTAATTGTGTAATGTGTGGATGAGCTTGGGGAAAGAGATGCTGCCTAGGAAGTAATAAGTCAAGAGAAAAGGGAGCCCAAGGATTTAATGGTCAGAGAAAGAAACGTAGGAAGGACTCACCCAAATTTATCAGATGGTTTCAGGTAGAAAGTTTGTACCTTCAGACTTGCAAAATTCAGTTAATGTAACCTTACAATAAAGTAGATTTAGTTATCTGGTTGCATTTCCTGTCTGGTTTGCTTTGGAGGGGGCTGACCTCAGCATTTCAAGTCTGAAGTTACAAACTTCCCTCTGCCATTTTTAACCATTGGATAAGTTAGGACGGACCTTTCCTAAGTTTCTTCCTTGGATGGTTAAGATTTGGGGGGCTCCCCCTTCTTTTGTCAGATTGTGTCCTAGGCAGCATCTTTTCCCCTCTTTCCCCAAGGTTATCCATACATTCCATTACATAGCTTTCTTCTACCAGAGTCCATCCAGTCCAGTCTAGCACAATAAATAAAAATCCTAAATTACTATTTTTGACAAAGACACAAATCACATTTGAGGGAACTAATTATTGACTGCATAATTTCAAAATTGGCTACCCAGATTTCGCCTTTCCTGTAAATTCCAGCAGCCCAGACTGTCCTATGTTTGATGATTCATATGTTTTTGGAAAGTTACCAGGACAAGTTTTTTTTCAAACTGGAATGAAAGAAAAATGTTGTATCAGTACTTCACACTAATGTTACAGACAGACTACTATAGATAAACTAGTATACCACTAAAGCAGACCTCTGTTGCAGCAATAATTCTTATAAAATTATACATATCTCTCCCCATTAAAAATGAAATTTAATGTCCTCTGATGCTTTTGAAAGATTTTTCCACTTCAGTCCTTCCTTTCCACTTTAAAATCTTGCAGACTGTTATTGAATTTCATCATATTTGTATGTTCCATTCAATGTACTTTAAAAAGTGTAACAACAATTGGAAGAAAAAATTAAAATGTGAATGAACTATAGATCCCTTAGTGTTAGCTATAGCCCCTTCAAAGATATAGTACTCACACTGTTTTCCTTGGATATTGGATTTGAAATGTAGAGGATGACAACTTGAGAGCAGCCTTTCCTTAACTGGGGCCCCTCCTAACAATTTCCTAAATTTTCTGGCTACAATGTCCATTTTTGAGGATTGTGGTTGTTGAAGCCTTCATGGTATCAAATTCTGAGAAGACTGTTCCAGAGTATGTCATTTTTCCACTTTCTGACAAAAGTAACACAGACCACAATCCCTTCCGGTGAGAAAATTTCTGGGAATAGAATAAGAATTAGGAATTTCTGCTCTTAAAAATCATGTTGAACTATTATTTTTATCAGAATCCTTGGTAATTTGGTGAATTGTGAATGAGGCTAAGAGTTGTAGTTCAACAACATTTGGATCATCATCATCATTGCAAAAATAATATTCTTTTAAGAATCATTATTGTGCAATAATTGGAAGGATGGATGGATGGATGGATGGATGGATGGATGGATGGATGGATCACAGTGGAATATTGTCTCTAGTGCCTTTTGGGAGCCAGCAGCACTGTGGGAAACATCCAGATCTCATGCTATCAAGCCACTTAAGAACTGTTATTCATCATTTACCCATTTAGAGGGACATTATATTTGAATATCTAATATACCTTTTTGAGCATGAAAATGTACTTTAAATTGGAAGTCAAACCTTGGAAAAATTGTGAAATGTTAAGATGGACAAAACAAAAGGGACTGCATGAATCAGTGAATGGAGATGATGGAAGCAAGGATGGTTTGTAAGGATAGAAGGATATGGTATTATAATTAGTAGTATAAACTTGATTTTCTTTCCGTTTCTTTTACATTCTTTCTTTTAATTTCTTTTCC